TTTTTTCCTGAAGATGTTTTGATACGTGCAAATGGTGCTAAATATATCAGAAAAGATGCAAACCCCAGACGGTGTGAGGGCTTTCTATTTTTGGATGACTTATCCAACAGGTAAAAATACAAAATATAAATTTTTTGTTTACCTCTAAACATTATTTATTACCTATATGTATATCTAATGTATGGGTTTTTAGTTCTGATTCAACTGTTTTTCGAACACCACCTGCTACAAAAAAACATTGCAGTAAGTAATAACACTAATAACTAAGCATAAAAAAATTAAATGAAATTTTAGTTAATACAATTAAGGTATTTAATATATTTAAAACGTTATTTTAAAAATTTGTGCAGTTTTTTTACGATTTTTTTTTGTAATTATTAAAAAATTATATATTTTTTTAGGACAGTGTTTTATTTAGATACCCCTACCTACTTAATGTTAATTTAAAATTTTAAATAATTTTGGTTAACATAATACCAGGCAAATAGTATAAGAACCGATAATTGGAACAATCTCTTGGGGCTGAGACAGGCCAAGATATTTCTGGGTGAATATAACCAGAAAAGATCGAAAGCCTGCATCGGCCTGAGCAAGAACAGGCTACGCATTGCAACAGGGATCCTTACCGAGCATTGCCGACTAAAAGGACACCTAAGTAAAATAAAAGTAGTAGAGGATAGTGAGTGCAGATTCTGTGAGGAGGAGGAGGAGGAGGAGGAGGACGAAACCTCCATTCACATCCTAACTGAATGTGTAGCACTTCAGAATGTAAGGGCACTATATCTAGGAGGATATCAAATAGAAGAGGAAGATTTACCTAATTTGAAGCCACTTCAAATCCTACACTTCCTTGAGAAAATAGGATTGAAAGGGTCGTTATAGAAATTGAGACATTTCCTTGGTGCATTGGCGACAGAAAGGGGCACAATAGATCTTTTAGGTCGCAATGTATTAACACCCCATTCCCAACATAACATAACCAGGCAAATATATAGTAAATGCCAATATACATTAAAAATCGGAAGGTAACTTGAATTTTCTTGTATTTGAATTTACTTGTACTTGAATTTACCTATATGAAAAAATCATCATAATTATATTACTAAAAAAATATACCTACTTATTTACGTATTTTTTTAACATACTACTCTGACAATACTGTTAAGTTTAAAACTCTACGCCACTGGCGAGCATATTATGGACACTGTTTACAACGTTGCCAGCCGGTCCTAAGAGATCTGTCTTTCTCTCTTCCACTCACTAACAATTTTAAAACAATAACAGTTCGCAATTGTATGGGATTTATGAATGAAACATTTTGTCTCTATGTTGTAATGTCTTTGGAAAACTCATATAAATTTTTTTAATCACTATCATTTTCTTTACAACTGGACTCTGATTCAGACTCATCACTACTTGCCGTTGTACCTAAATTAATAATAATTGGTTCCAGATTAGAAACATCTAATTGCTTGTATGTTTTCCAATCAAAAACACTTATGTTTTTAGTGTGTCTTACTGAGTATCGTTAGCATTATTCAAAGCTTCTGACCTTAGAGCATATAAGACTAGATATCATTCAATGTATTTTGTTATGTATAAGCGGGGTCATCACTTTAGACGTGAGGGGAGAGGGGTAGGTACTCCATTCTCAATGGCGTACGGTTTGAAAGGGTTCGTATTTATGTTTACCATTTATGCAGTGTAATGTCACAATAACAAGTAAAAACAAATAATAATTTATTTATAATAGTAATAATAATAAATGTACATATTTTATAATAACATTATTAATCAATGTAATCAAAACATAGTTATTGGTTATTCCTAGATGTAATATCTGTGTGTAGAAGTAAGCTATTTATAAAACAAAACAAAAAACGAAATAAACATTAATGCTACCAAATTCCCATGAAATTTATTTAATATTTATTTAGTACACCACTCAACAGTTAAAAACCAATTACATATAAAATGGGATGAATACAAAAAAAATATATTTTATTCGTGAGATACATCATACACATTTTCAGGGAAAAATGTTCAGTTATATTTGACTGCCTATGTTAGAGCATAAAATATTTTAAAATTATCACACAAAAACTTACATACTATTAATATATGCACAATAGATACTATATACACATACAAGAGATAATATAAAATACAGTAGGTACCCTACTATTCATAATGTATTTAATAACTTTACAAACAGAACACAAATGACATGTGTTGTTAGACACGCTATTAATGCTCATACTGAGCACTTGACATTAAGCTAGTTTGGTTGTGAGATCAGTAAAAAATCTGAAATAAGTAAAAAAAAAAATATTTAAAAAGTTAATGGCAAATAAATGTACAATACAAAAAAGCATCTAATACATTTTACAATACACAAAATGACTAATAAATTAAACATTATAGGTTTGTTCCAACAACAATTTTGGGACCATACATAAAACAGTCCACAACTTATTGTCGACGACTGATAGTCGACGACCTGTCGAGGGTTGGGACGCGATTCGAAACTTGGATGTGTTGGAACACATTTTTGTGTTGTCAAACACACTCTGTTAATAACGTCAAAGTAAAACTAAATTTAACAAATGTAAAATTTTGAATTTGGGAAGTAAAAAAATTATAAAACTCATGAAAAGATTTATAAATTTTGATTATTCGATTTTTAGAGTTGGTGGTGGTTTATTTACGAGCTCACTTTTATTTTGCGCATATCTTGACAATTCGTTCATATTCACACCCAGGAACTGATTTGACAGTACAGAAACTGGTTTGTGATTAGGTTTGGGTGTGTTGGAACACTAGGTTTTTGTACAGTTTTGAGTCCGAAGTTTGTTGGAACATCAAATCTAGACTGCGCAGAATCCCGACAGTACGGAAACCGATTTGCTATTGTGTTGGAACAAACCTTATATCGCAAAGGAAACAATTATTTTCTGTCGAACGCAACCAGTTGCGGTGATGATTAAATGAAGAACTTTCTACAAACATATTTTCTTATTAATTTGACAATTTCCCATTTTAAGTTAGGTTTATGGAATATAGAATACTTACTTGTGAAACGTCAACCAGGATCCTTTTAAGAATTTTTTATTGCATATACAAACTCTCGGCATGATTAGCATTTATTTTAAAATAAAAACACTTTAAAAGTTTATAAAAGAGACACCTCGTCCAATTTGTCTTCGGTTGCCACAAAAACAAAAACGAAAATAAGACGTCTAAAGAAATATAATTTATCACAAATACGCACGTTATTTAAATTCACCAATCATAAATTGTCGTGTACCTAACTCGCCAATCATAAAGCGTCGTGTTCCTTACACCGAAGGGGATACTCCCTCAGTACATAACAAACCCATTTGAGTAACACCTCTAGTCTTATATGCTCTAAGCCAGCGTTACCAAAGTGTGGTCTGCGGAGCCCTGGAGCTCCGCAAAGCTTTTGTGGGGCTCCGCGAAGAAAATAATAGTCATAACAAAAAAACAGTACTATCGCTACGGCACTTGGCTTGAGGATCTTTTTTTTTAGAAGCCACTAAGAGGAAGAAAGATATGATTTTAAAGATTTTTTTGTGGGCTCCGCGAAAAAAAGGGAGGGACCTGGCTAGAGGCTAGAGCAAGGAGGGTTTTGTTCGGAGGACTTTTTTTTTAGAAAAGCGTTTAGGGCTTCGTCAAATATTTTGCTTTTCAAAAAGGTTCCGTCACCAAAAAAGTTTGAGAACCACTGCTCTAAGCTTCTGACTTTCTGACCAAGTCTGAAATACATCTTCGGTGACGACTTTGTTGTTAATGCCTTTGCAGCCTTTTGATTCTACCTTTCAAGAGCCTCGCAAATACATTTGTGTCCCTTAAAATAGGGAACTACGTTAAGGATTAAAGTTTTTGATTGATCAGTAAATCGTTTCACCATTTTGTTCAATAGTTTTAAAAAAATCAAAACATACATACTTTTAACAAATTGACAAATTCAAAATTATTTTGATAACTGCCACTTGACATAATAACATGAGGTTTGTACTGGTTCTTAAATTGAAAACGGTTTTGAACCTGCGCCGGACCGTGTGCGTTAAGGCAAAAAATCCTCAACTGTTTGAAAAACATACAAGCTGTTTTGTTTATTGTTTATTATAATAATGCAGTTCCTGTTTAAAGCTCAGCTTGAAATAACATTTGCATGTATATGTGCATCATTATCATCCTCATCACATTTCAATGGAATAAAAAAAACGGGAGAATATTAAACAATTATTAATTCTAATACAAATAAAACAAGAACAAGAGACATTCGTCCACACATAAATAAACAATTTAAGCAATGCTGCCAATCAGAATATTTAGATATTTGTTGATGACCTAAAATTTTTGTTTATTTTGATTTGAGTTTTGTGTGGATCTGATTCAAGTTTTGTATGGATTTGCCTCGAGATTTGTATGGAATTGATACGAGTTTTGTATGGATGTTTTTTCGTAATTTCACGTCAAATAAGACACAGCACACAAGTCAGCAATTAAAACTCACCTAACCAATACAAAATTCCCGATGGCAGGCAGCTAGTAACTTTTTGATATTTGGGATAACTATAAAATTTCTTCATACACACAAAAATAGAACATGGTCTATTTATTTTTTCACAGGAGACTTTCATTAAAAATGTCTGTACGCACACAAATTTCTTGTAGCAAACTAGCACAACATAAAATTTGCGCCTTTAATGGTTCGTTACTAGTACTTAAAATAATCGGTTACTAAATCATTCAGTAAATAATACTATTTTTCAAGTCACAGTTAAAATGAAGTACAGGAAGTTCAGGGTAATATATTTTAAATGAAAGAAGGTTCGACTGTCGTAAGACCAATACTGAATTTTAACTGTGGACCACAGTATAGTAAAAAACAAATAGAAAAGTGATAAAAAAAAATAAATAAGAAGGAAATCAAAATGAAATTTAACAAAAAAAAAAAAATAAATAAAACAAACCTTTTCCCCTACATGTGAACTAACTTCAACTACCTTCTGGCTGGCAAGTCCTCCATATTTGACGGCGTTTTCTGACGCCTTGCTTGCTAGTTTTGTCGCTGACGACGACAGAAATGACCAACCCTGTAAAAAAAATTTGTTTTTTAAACAGACCCATACTTTTGTTCTCTTAAAATAATAATGAACTTACACTAGCCAATGATGAAATAGCGGTGTCTACGAACTCTTGAGATTGGCTCCGAGGTGGTGGGTCCTTGGTATAACCGAAACCGCTGTATTTTCCGCCTTGGCTGGGAGGAATATGACTAAAATACATAGAATCAAGTTAATTGTTACAGATAATTACATTTTTAACAACTAAAACAAATTTAAAACTATCGATGATAATTTATTAATTACTTGGGTCTATTAGCGTTCTCCATTTGTCTTTTGGCAAAGAACGATGACGTCTGGTCCTTGAACTCTTGCGTATTCATATTCTGATAGCCGCTGTCGTAATTTTCGCTAGACGATTGATAAGAGGAGGAAGACACGTAATTATCTCTAGCAGTTTTGGATCGCGACGACGAGTTAGTACCAATAAAACTACTTGTATAATTTTGAGCAGGCGACGTTTTCTCGTCCCATGGTTTTCCTTGGGCTAATGTCGATATCTACAAACAATATTGTAATTTAATATACAGTTGGTCCAATGCAGTGCTATAAGCTCTTAGTACAATATAAGTTAATAACTTTTATAATTACAGTTTTAGCATAAAAAAATAGTTTTGAGTCAAAAAAACTGAAAAACGAGTTTTTGCGAACTTGTGGTGGCCCAATGAGATAAATTGTAAAAAATATTGCTACTTCCTTAGAACTGCTAAACATACCATCACTGCTCACCACTTATTTTTTATCTAAAAGCTAACTAACCAATAAATTTAATGCAATTCTACAGACTACGATTTGATGTAACTATTATAATAATTTTTTGGTGACATATGGTGTCAAATGCCCTTGAAAGATCGAGGAATATGCATAACGACAATATATATCTAAGGAATTGTATATTTTGAATGTTAATTTGTATATGGCATGTAGTATCGATCTCTTTTCTCGAAATCCAAATTGGTTATCTGACAGGATTTTAAATTTTCCATGATCTTTGTCAAGAGGTTCAAATAGCTTTCTCAAGAATTTTAGCAACACTAGATATCAATGAAATTGGGCGATAAATATTGATCTTTTCAGTATCTCTCTTTTTTATATACAGGGTGTTAGTACATTCAACCAACAATGCTCTACTGCAGTGAGTTCTAGTTAATTAATAAAAAAAATTTAGAGGAACACATGAACCCTTAAAGAGCTTAGTTACCGAGATACAGTTAAAAGTTTTTAATCAAAATTTGTCCTAAATCAAAATCATTTTTTAAATATATTTTTTCAAATTTGATCTACCAAGATCTTGTCAAATACACGAACTTTTCAAAATTTGACACATGCTTACTAATTTGACATTCCGATTTAAATTGACCGCCATTTTTGGCAATCTTTATTGACAGTTTTTCTATGGTGGTATATATTAAGTAAAAACTTTGGGGATACTTGTTTTTTGGTCAACATGGAACAACTGTCCATCGAAGACCGTGTTTTTATTGTGAAAACTTATTACCAAAATGGGGAATGTTTTGCTAAAACGTAAGAAGATGCCGTACACATTTCTGAAGAAATTTAGTACCACTTGTTAAAGTTATTGAGAGTTTTATGAAGACTTTTCAACAGACTGGTTCAGTAAAAGTTAACAGGCGGTGTGTTTAAAATCGTGGTGTCCCATCAGAGGAGAACATTGCTGCGGTAAGGGTTAGTGTTGGTGAAATCCAGAAAACGTCAGTTCGAAAACGTTCACACCAAGTCAACATTAAAAGATCGAGTTTACATAACATTTAAAAAAAAAAAGATCTTAATTTAAAAGCTTATAAGATACAGTTGAGTCAAGTATTAAAACCAAACGATCATGCGGCATGTCGTATATCTGTTAATTGGGCTTTAGAAAGAAGGAAAGAAAATAACGATTTTTTAAAAGAATTATCTTTAGCGACGAAGCTCATTTCGAAATCGGTGGATACGTAAACAAGCAGAATTGCAGAACATGGGGTGATGAGGAAAATCCAAGAGAAATATTGGTAAAACGACTGTATCCAGTAAAAGTGACTGTGTGGTGTGGTTTTTTTCTGGTGGCGTTATTGGTGATGTGATAAGTATGAATGGAGCGCCATACAGGACAATGATTAGATATTATTTGTAGAACGAATTAAAAGGTATGAATATCCAGAACATGTAGTTCCAGCAAGACAGTGTCACTTGCCACACCATCGGATGAACACTTAATCTTTTAAGGGAGTGATTTGGCAAACAAATAATTTCTCAAAGAGCTGAGGTTAATTGACCGCCTAGGTCGTGCGACCTTACACCATTGGATTATTTCTTGAGGGTCTTTTTGGAAAGAAAAGTAAACTAATAACCCTCAAACGCCAGAACAGCTTCGAGTTAACATTATTCAAAAAAATTATGAAATTGAGCAGAATGTTTGCAAAAATGTTAATGAAAATTTTGAAAAAAAGAATGTTAGCATGCCAAAGAAGCAGAGAGAGTCACATGCTGAATATAATTTTTCATTATTAATCGTAACATTTAAACTTCAAAATAATACATATTTCAATGGTTTTTTGTGTTTTATTATTAAATTAAATCTGAAGGACAAATTTGGGTACCCATTAGATTAGGATTTAGAAATATTGAGTATTAAGTGTAAGGGTTAAAGAAAAGGTCCTTTATTTCTCACAAGTCAATTTAATTGGCGACCGGTTTCGAAGCTGTCACTTCATCATCAGGCCTGATTCTTCAATTTTAAATCAAGTAGACATGATATATCAAGATGGTCAGTGATTTTATCATGAAAAATAAATGTTCTTATTTTTTCATGTTCCAGTGAGTTTGTTTTCAAAGGCCCCCATTCACGAGCATGCAAAATGTCAAAAATCCCTGTGAATGTTGAAAATAGAATGTATAGGAATGCTTGCAAGATTTTGACATTTCCCATTTCAATAACAGAATATTCGTTTTCCTTAATGAAAATCACTATACCTAGGGACTTGAGAGAGTGTAATCCATTAGCAATTTTTAACAAATTATTAAAACAAAGAAAATTTTAATTTTTAATATATTGGGTGTATCTTTTACCATTTTATCATTAATTTGTATTTAAATTAGTTCATGATTTTAAGAGGAAAGCGGAGATCCCGTGATAAACAAAATTCACCTCTACCTGCCTTACCCTCTACGTCTCGTTCCGCGCTGACAGCCCAAAAGCGAATTTATTTCCTCTGTAATAATAGACTTATGTTATTGCAGTTACAAATAGGATAAGTAAGAGAACTAAACCCAACGTATGTATGTAGCTTGGTCGCTTGGCTAAGTGCATATTCATAGGCGCAACATATTTTCTTGCAGTGTAATTTATTAAATATTTTTGTTAAACCAAAAAAATCATATTGTATTTTTGTATTATATTTCTTAAGTACCTACTACTACAAAATAGAACTTACCCTTTTAGGGAGAACAAATACTCATTAAGGGATTAACTGATTTTTTTTCAATCAGAAAAGAAACAAATATCCGTATGTTATGTTAGGTTCATATTGGACCTAAGATATTCTGAAAGAATCAAAATTAAACAAAAAAGTGAACTAAAATCCACCGCCTACAATATAACGATATATAATAATGAGCAGTACCTTTCTCTCTGCGTTTTCAAGAACTTGAGACCTTCCAGCAATAAAAGTTTATTTTCTTTCTTGTTTTATTTTTTATTTATAGCTTATAACTTATACATACCAAAGCCAAAAAATATATATACCTACTTGTACAATAAAATTATTTTATTAGGCTCATTTTTTTTATAATAAAATAAAAGTACAATTGAACAAAACTAATATTTTGTTTGGTTACTAATTAGTTCGTTTCGTTGATTGCCTCTTATTGGAAATCCTCTTGGAAATCTCGGATCGACTAATTCCGGAAGCAAGCAGTTGTAAAAAAATATTTGTAATTTATTTATCATATGGCCCTTCCAAAAGTGTTTGTCTCTTGCAATCTGAAATAAATAAACAATGACCTATGTAATTATTCGTTTAATTTTTATATTATAGAGTACCTTTTCTATCAGCAGTCCTTTTGGACTCCATATTATGAAATAACATATTTCTTTATTTGCTACCTCAAAATGCCCTTGGACTTGATAGTAATACATATGATTCCTGTGTAATTTTAATTCTTCCTTTTCTATTTGAGCCCATTTAATTTTTTTTGAAATGATGGCTTCTGCGAGATGTATATTTTTAATTGATTTGTAGTATTGCAGCTACTATCCTCAGTAATACTTTTTGTGGTGCTCTCTATTTCTTGACTAGTATTTGGGTGGGCCCTCGATTCAACGGCAGTGCTTGTTCTATAAAAACGAATTTAGTTCAAAAATGTAAAATAATCCATTTATAATCACTATTTCAGGCGTCAAGCGATTTTTTTAAGTTACTCAAGTTAATTTAAAAAATTACTCAACTTATTTGTTTTCCAAAAAGGTTGGTATTGTATTTTAGAAGTCACAAATATATTAGAGAGTTCAGTAACTTATTATATTTAAGAATATCAGCAAAAAACGATTGCGTCTTGTATTTTGTAAAAAAATAAGACGTCCCCAATTTAACATTCTGTATTTCAAAAAGTAGTCATGGGAGCATTTTTTTAATCAGAAGATCAAAAATGTCCGTGTACACTTTTAATCAGGTGGTCGAAAACTAACATATATAAAATTCAGCATATTCGACCGAAAGCCATTTGCCATAAAGAAACTGAGGGCCGTTTTTCAAATTTCCGCCGTGTTTTTCTATATTGAGTTTCAATTTTAAATAAACATGATATTGATCTTTAAGACCCCCTAACTATTTTTCTGTAACTTAAAATCAATAGTGGCCAAATCAATTCGAGAAAAACTCGTAAACTGTAACTACTCTTATTTTTAAATGTGATTTTTATTTTAGTTAACTTTTGTTAGCATTAAGCATAACGGGACTGTCATTTTACAGATTTTAAAGGATCCATCAAAAGTTGTTTACGTTAAATTATAATTTTTTATACAAAATATCAACTCTTTGTAATTTATCCCTCATGTTGCACTCAAAAAAAAGAACATCCTGTAGGTCATGTCCGAACTAGTCTACTTACCTGGGGATTAACAAGTAATAAGTAATTTTCATTATTAAAATTTAAGTACCAATCAAATCGAAATACAAAATTCCTAATTGTTTTTAATATTGGCCAAACACATTAGGGGTTTTTCCCGGTAGGTAACAATGGCTTTTTTCTAGGAGATTTCAGGTAGACCAGCTTAATATAATCTATTTCGCTGTGAATTTAAATTTTATCCGTTTATTAATAATCCTAATTACATTGTTTCTGTAACCAAACCCCTCACCCCGAATGTCTTAATAAAAACTATATTATTAATATAATATTATTACACCTAAAAATTTTATATTATTCTTTAGTGGAATCGCGACTGAATTATGCTATACTAAGTTGGGGCGAAGCTGTATACCGTCATTTAAAACAATTAGATATTCTACAGAAAAAATATTAGAAATCATTTATATTAAAAAAAAAATCACTTTTCCATATGACTTATTATTTTTTGAAATTGGTATTTTGGATATAAGACAGCTCTTTATGCAATAAATAATAATTTACCTGCTTAAAATAAAAAATATTTTAAACATAATTAGTCAGTCACTCTACAAGATATAAAGAAGATATGTAGAAAAAAATGTTTACCTCAGATGTTATACTCACCTAGCATTCAAAATATATTATAATTTACCAGACATTTATAGAATATATTTGCAAATATGATTAAATCTATTTTTAAAAAATATATTGTAATGAGGGGTAGACAAGAAACTAGAAGTACTGATATATATTTAGCCTCATTCAAAAATTCAAATTAGTAATATTTTTTTATAACTTATATAGAACCATTTAAATCATCCTATAATGACTTGTATCTTATGTTTATCTAATATATACATAAAATATTCTCGTTTTTTGTACTTTTAAAATGGAATGTGTATTTTTTTTTCTTTTTCTAATTTTGTATTGAATGAAGGAATAAACATAATTAATAATATAATGAATATAATGAAGCTTATTTTTCCATTAAAGTTTATAGGAAAATATTGAAATGTCAAACTATTTTTTTTTTAATTACACAATAGTTGATTCTTCTATATGAATTTAAATTTTAAAAAACGGCACTAAAATTTTTAGATAAACTTTTATTTTACGACTTACCCAGCACAGGTTTCCTCAAAATTCTGCAATTCAGTTAAAGGCTGAACAATGTTTTGCAATCTCCGATTTTCATAATAGCTGGAATATAAATTATATTTTACTTTTCAAGAAGAAAATTATAACTAAATATTGCTTTTATAAATAAAATACTCACGCTTTCATTATATTTCGACGACTTTTCCTTTTAGCACACAACGTTAAATGTTCTTTATCAAAACTTCTTCTACCCATGTTCACTCAAAAGCGCTTAAATCGATAAAAATGTTATATTCTCTTCATATATAAAACAAATAACTAATTCGACGCGCGCCTCTGGTAACCCTTCGATCACAATGTGCAACTGAGAATAAGCGAACAGGTTAAAATAAGGGGTGGCAGCACCTTATGGAGTTTTAATACAAAAAGGTGGGAATACTTCTCATTTAAATTACACTTGATATATAAAAAAAAAAAAACAAAATCGGCAAAATATTGCAGGTTTAGTACAGTTTTGAGGAGAAAACTTTTTTCCCAAAAGTCAATTAAATAGTTAAAAAAAAAATACGTTTCGAAGGTTTACAAAAAAATCAAGGACTGTCACAGAAACAATTATTACTTCCAAATTGCTATCTGAATTTTCATAAATAACGAATAAAAAATAACAAATCTAGAAGTAATCGCAGTTTTGTGTGTGTCCAGTTTCCTCTGAATGTTGATTATGTTTGACAGCATCTCTGATGATTCAAATTTAAGCCATATTCAAGTGGTCTCTTTGGTTTAAAAATATTTTCAACTACTTTTAAAACCAGTTTTAATACTTTACAGCAGTGATGTCACTAACAGTTAATGATTTGTGAGTGTGTAAATCTCTAGCAACGGATAATATTTTGCCTATGTCAAAGAGAAACTCATATAATATTACCAGAGTTTTATGAAGAATGGATCCTTATTTAGAATCCGACTTTAACCAGTTATTAAAAATTACAAGGTCATTTTTAAAAATTATTAAAAATTATAAACCTTCATAAATATGCATTTTCTAATTTTTCTTATAACCATAAAATAATCTTTTTTATCATTAATTATATTACGTATACTATGCTCTATGATGTTCTTTACTATTTTTGACATTTGTATTTCATTGAAGGTTTAAACCTAATTCAAGGTGACATCATTGTTTGGTTACTTGAATGGGAATAGTTTAAACCGTTTTCAAACCACATGAAATATATTGAAACCAGGAGAACACTTGAATATGGCTTTACTTTTACCTAGATTTGAAATGTTACTATATATTCCTGGCAACTATATATCAATTCTGATTGTCAGAACAAGTTAAAACAGCAATAATGTGGACATGCACTTTATTAGGACACTAAACTACAAGACTACCAAATATATATTAAATTTTTGACCATTGGCTTGCATAGTTAGACTCCAATACCCTAAGTGTAAAATATACTCTCTCCAGATAAAAATTTACCTTATCCCTATATAATGCAGCTGCTTTCGAATTGTACTTCTGCTGAATGGACATATCGTCGTCCCAATCGGGTTGCGATTCAAAAAATAGCCTAGCGTTTCGGTTACCTCCAACTTTCATTTTTTCCAATTCTATGTCTTTCCATTTGTCCATTGTTACGGAACGTACGAACGACAAATGCACGCCTAAACCTCGGTGCTTTCCGGAACATTCTAAGCAAATCCATATTCCATATGTAACAGACACCCATTGTGGATTTAGAGAAGTGCCACATTCAAAACATTTCTGAAATCAATTTTATATCGAGGTTAAGTAACATACAAAACGATAAATACAATCAATTTAACGAAAATGTATAGTTGGTATAGGAATTTTAATGATATTTAATTAATTTATTTACTTTGTTACTCAAATTATTTAAAAGTATTGTGATTAAATTGTACATACATCATTTTCATTCGAAGGCTTCAGCTCTTGTAAAACTCGACGTGTTCTAGGGCTTGCCATTACACAATTTCTTGACTAATACAAAGTACTATTTACAAATTATATCACTTGAAATCTTGAGATTTGAGATGAACTCAAAAAATTGAGATTCAACTCATACGTGTCAATCTCATTTGGTGTTATTTCTTCTAATTTCTAGGGTTTTTTATTTTTTTGTGTGTTAAAATGGAAAACACATGGAAAGATAGATAAGTAGTGAATAAAGGAAACTGATGCAAACAAAATAATATTCCTAAAAGTAGATAAAATGCAACAGTTTATATGCATAATAACCAATTACATATCATTAAACTTTTTATGATCTGTGCAACTAATATTTAATTAAAAAATAAAAATGATAAAAATGTATATGTAAAATATTGTTAAAAGTATGGTTAGAATAATATACAAAGCGGAAATCAAATCGCATATTACAAATGCGACAGATTATAAAAAATGCTCGACGATCTGGCAAAAATTCAGTTTAAACACGGTATTAATTTTTAAAGAGTCACGGCGGGAGACAAGACGGTGAGAGCGGGCGGCCCAAGCGGCGCACAGACGTCCCGAAGCGACTCAAATAAGAGATAAATGATAAATGTGACCCATAGATAAATTAATAGCCCCCCTGGGGGGCTATTTTCAAACTCGAGAGAATTCATTTCCATCAAGAGAAATGTCATACGTCAACGTAAAACCGTATTTTTAGGGCTCTTTTAGGGCCAGTGTGAACTCACTGACTGTTTCTCTTGGTTTATTTAGAGATAATTAAAATTCTCCTAAGAATTTTAATCCTCGATGTCTTTAAATACAGCGTTTCCACATTGACGTATGACATTTCTGATGAGAATCTTGAGAGAAATGAGTGCTCACATACTTTGAAAATAGGTCCCCCCCGGGGGGCTATTTTCAAACTCGAGAGAATTCATTTCTCTCAAGAGAAATGTCATACGTCAACGTAAAACCGTATTTTTAGGGCTCTTAGGGCCAGTGTGAACTCACTGACTGTTTCTCTCGGTTTATTTAGAGAGAATTAAAATCTTCCCAAGAATTTTAATCCTCGATGCCTTTAAAAACAACATTTCCACATTGACGTATGACATTTCTGATGAGAATCTTGAGAGAAATGAGTGCTCCCATACTTTGAAAATAGCCCCCCAGGGGGTCGATTCTCGACTCGTAGGAATTTTTTCCTATAGGAATTTTTGACATTTTTCTATACATAGAAAATTTATGACATTTCCCTACATATAGGAAAGTGTCACAAATTCCTATAGGAAAAGGTTCCTACAAGTCGAGAATCGACCAAAGAAGTAGAGAGGGTAGAACGATAAGGTACCGTCTGCGCATCCATCACGAGTGTAGAAATTATGCGTGATTCAGCCTTCCACTCTTACACACGTAAATGATAAGGAGAGGTTGCCCTAAAGCACTGTAAACAAATTCCAGGATCGACTTTATTCAGCGATTATGTGCATGTTCAGCTCTGTTTTTTGTTTGTGTTTTGGCTGTTGTAAGCTTTTTTGGCGTCAATTCTTTGTTATCTTGCTTATATTTATGATTTTTTATGCTTTTATTCCGATTTAGTATTAAATTATACTTGTTAATTATTTTTCGATGCACTATTTTATAATTGTTGCACAAAATGTTGTTAAATAACCGTCTCTGAATTTTGTTTACAAAATGTGCAAAACGAAATTGTGCATAGTGTCCAGACTTTTTCATTGACAGTTATCATTCTACCCCTCTCCACTTCATTGGAATCGACCCCCTGTTCATTGGTCCACTTCGGTGAGATCCGCTGACAACCTGTCAATTTATGTGTACCCTCCTCCCATATCTATGGTATAACATAGATAAATTAATATTAAAAGATAAACCGTTTAAATGCACGGCACTGGTAACAAGTGGTAGTTCCCAGCCATACTACTTGGAGCCACCGTCGCAAATAAGATGACAGCGATGTTGTCAGTTTCCATAAACTTTCATGAGATTAGAGTTAATTCAAACGCATAAGCTGCACCTTATTTTGTTTTTGTCGTGCTCGATACCATCCATACCACAGCATAATAAATAACCAGCAGTATTACTCCCGCCCCTTTCTAAAAATAGAAATTTGACCTTGCTTATGTCACTTCGATTTAGAAGTCGGGGTCGGATTAGGAATATTTGCGAATTTTCGGCTATGTTGTGTCGGGAACGTATTAGGATGAATTTAGGAAATAAAACATTGTTTAATTGTTGACTTATTCGTTTGTTAAAGCATTTGTTTTTAATTTTCAGGTGTTTTTTTTGGTGAGGAATATAAAAAACACGTTTTTTAGATAACAAGTAGGTACATATTTTTTTCCTTTAAAAAATATTTATATTACAATAGTACAAGTACATACATTTTAAAATTTTATGCATGGCGCCATATAATTAACTTATTTTTATTAATATTATTAAAATTTTTATTTTTTAAAAGTATAATATAAACGAACTCTTAAATATAAATAGATTACAAATTTTTGGGAAAATGCGGGCACAAATGTGTGTACGAAATATCTTTGCAAATATTAATATACCGCTCACAAATTTTTGGCTCAGTTATAAACGTTATAAAATTGCTTTGAAATATTGTTTCAGTGGTGCTTTTTATTTGTGAAAAATCATCATGTGGATTTCTAAGGTTGCCATATGGGTCACACTGGGCATTCTGGTAATAACCTTTAAAAAATATATATAAAGATGACTCTTTTATCTCTTCACGTGCCTTTGAATATTGGTTGCAAATATCGCATGGCATTATAATATTTAATATTTGCTAAATGTAATAAGACAAGTGAAGATTATCACAATAAACTATTTAGATAAGAACATAAATAGATGTAACCCTCGGGTAAACTATTTTAAATAGTTTTTGAGAATGACATCCGAAAATCCCAATTTGAAAATTTAATATTCGCAATAAACTAATTAGAGACATAAATAGATGCAAACGGAAAACTTTAGATCTTCATTGCTTTAAATATTTTTATGAATTACGATAGCTGTATTTCTTAATTTGAAAATTTGTTGCCACAAAATAAACTAATTAGATAAGTACAAAAATAGATGCCTGCCAAATACATGATAGAACAATCTGCGACAAATGTTTTAATCCTGATATAGAAAATAATGATTCTTCTGAATAACTTATTAATTATATATATTTTTTTATATTTTTAATAAAAAAAACTAAATAAATACTATTTAGGATTCGCATGATTGTTAATTTTTCAAAGCCGTAGATGTTTAAAGCACGGGAGCGATATTCTTCGATGCCCTTTTTTTAAGTAGTGTCCTATATAATTATAAGTAAAGTCCTTATAATAATATAATAAGTAACTTTAATTAATACCATTTTATCAAAATTCTTATTTATTTTTTCCATTGAAAATAATACAAGAAAGAGTACAAGATAACAAATTATATGTTTTCATTATTTAACTATTTTAATTATAATCTAATACCATATCAAAATACGAATAGATGTATTTATATTAAATTAAACAAATTTTAGATTTCTAATTAGTAAACCAGGAGTTAATTTTTCTAGCTAGTTCATTGTCATTGATGAGCGATTTGTTATAAACTTTATAACATTCCTGGGAAATCTTTGACCAACCGGCTGCAGCTCTAATCGCTTCTATGTTAACTCCAGCTGTAAATGCCGCTGAAGAAACGGCATGCCTCAAATATGAAGGCTTAAGAAATATTCGTATTAGTGCCTTCTTTATTCTTTTCTTTATCTACCTTAAAACAATCTGATAGGATGCTGCATGGCAAGGCTTGCGATGTATAATTAGTAATTTTTTAATATTATCTCTTATTAATTTAGTTAAGAAAGGTATTATTAACTTAGGCTGATCATGACCTGGACCGGATGATTTCAATAATTTCGGCATTAATATCTCAATTTTCTCCCCCAGGTTACGAATATTCCCTATCTCTATTTTTGAAATAGTTTTTATCCTATGTGCTGTGCAAAGAGCAAGTAGTATAAGTATAAAGATAATGAGTAAGATAAAAGAGATTACGAGTACCACGTATGACAATATCTAGAAAATGTAGGACGAAGTTTGTATACTTTGACAAAATATTCAACACGATCTAAGTATTGAAAATAGAGTAACTTTAGCCTTTAACAAATTGTTCATTTAAAAATTCAATGATATTGTTTACAGAAGGACTTATTCAATCTATATTATTAATTTTACAGAACATCCACCATTTTCAATCCTGTACCTTCATACGATATCATGATAAGAGTTCTATAACCAAAGGTAAGGCTTGGCCACAGGACAATAAATTTTTATTTTTTTTTTAATTAATTTTGGCCTACAGAGATAAAGTCACCAACAAGTAATTTCGTAAAAATGGGAAACCATAGCTGCAATTTCCAGTAGAGTACTATGACCACCCCTTCTATACTTTTGTTATATTTTGAATACAAAAACTATAAATAAATACTATTTAGGATTCACATGATTGTTTATTTTTAAAAAGCCGTAATTAGAATGGATGTATCTGCGAGAACAACGCGACCAACTATGCATGCTATTATTTTTTTTATTGTTGAATTTTAGGTCGTACAAAAAATAGTAGTGCTGATCCAATAGTAAACTGTAATTTAATAAAATATACTTTTTATATTTTGAATAAAGAAACTATAAATAAATACTATTTAGGATTCGCATGAATGTTTATTTTTAAAAAGCACAAACCACACCGTATTTTGCCTTCGAAGTCATATTGTAATGTTTTTCACTAATTTCTATAAACTAATAATACTAATACTAAATAAAAGTTAATACTAAATACTAAAGGTTTAAAACTATAAAAATAACTCCGCCACTGGCAACTAAACACAAATGAATAAACACAACAAATAAATCTAACCTCTCGCCCATGCAATCACATCCGCTACTGACTGGTTTAGAAAGGTTCTAAATCGAGCAACGTCTTGCGCGGCGAACTGCTCAGATGCGAAAAAATGGGGGAGAAATACTGCTGGTTATTTATTATGCTGTGATCCATACAATGGCCATACCACGGGGGTTTATAGCATATGCGCATTTTGTCAACAAGTTACTGCGCATCGAAACTGGCGTACGTCCGTTTTACAA